TCTCACATAGTGCTCTGCATCAGCTCTGCTGTTCCACAAGCACAAAAAGCACATGTGCTTTGTGTAGCCACTCTGAAGGCCCAGTAGTAAACTGATGACTTTGAGATCGCCACATATCTTCCACTGGTGTTTCTCATACTCTATAGCGGCCAACAGAATTTTCATTGTTTCATAGCTCTCAGTCATTTTTGTTGCGTGTGCTATTGGGACAGATGGAAGCCGATTGCCATTGTGTAAAAGAACAGCTTTCAGAGAGTCTTTTCCTGAGTCTATAAACAGCCTCCAATCCTCTGTCTTGTATGTTTCAGACTTGCAGAGTTGTTGCATGAGAGATACTGCGTCCTCGCAATAACAAAGGTTGTTTGCCATCTTGAAAAATGCAGACAGCTGTCTATGTCGGTAACGCGCTGTAGTGATATGCACTCCATCTTCTAGCAGGTTACGCTGCTTTAGTCTGGATCCCAAAACTTCAGCCTTTTCTTTTGACAAGTTTAGGTCCCTGATGAGATCATGAAGCGCTTCTTGAGTAAATAGTTTAGGCCTGGTATTTTCAGAGTCATCCTGGTAGTCGTTTTCCATTGAGGTAGAGGTAGAATCGGAATCACTCAATTCTTGTTCAGTCGGTGGATTTGGGACTGGAAGTTCAGCACTGTGCGGTACTGGTCGGATTGCAGAAGCAATATTGGGGTACTGTACCTTGCCTCGTGTCTTGATTTTTATTCCCTTAATATTTGTGAGACAGAAGTAGCAGTCACTACTGTGGTCTTTAGGTTCACGCCATATCATTGGTACAGCAAACGGCATTCCTGAACTTCGTTTACCACACATCCACTCGCTCAGGTGGTTAACACAAGACTTACAGGCTACATGAGGTGCCCATTTCTTGTCTTGGTCACCCAAATGACATTTGAAGTAACTTTTGTAGTTCAGTCGAACAGCTTTTGTGATTGGTTTCTTGAGGCTACCAGGAGTGAAGGCACCACATATGTAGCAAAAACTGTCAGCACCGTTCACACACTTGCGACGTTCCATGTTTTGTTAATTTCAGAGTAATTACAAATCATGCAGGTGTAGATATGCAATATCATGAATCAGCAAACTGAAACAAACAAAAAAGCACAAATCAGGACAAAATAATTGAATAAGTGGAGCCAATGAGCATATAAATTACTGTATGAATAGCATGGTACACTAAATATATAGATATGCTGGTTCTGGAAAACTGAGCCTGATACAGCTATACGAATGTCATAATTGAGTTCAGCACATACAATTACACTAGAATCAGACTGTTTTGATCCAGAACCATGAGAATTTTTTTTTATGTTGACCAGTGTAACGGTTTAATGTATTATTAACAAGTTAACCGTATTATACAAAAATAAATAACTTAAACTGTGATAAACAAAAATATTCAAGATAAACTTAAATAAAAAGTACATTAAACTGAATTAAAATAACACGTAAAACTGTAAATTAGAAGGTAAACTGTAAATATGAAAAAATAACAAATTAAACTGTATTCAAAACCAAGTTAAGCTATAAATCCAAAGGTTAAAAATATAAATGGTAATTCTCGGATGTAGACGAAACCAAGCATGACTATATACAAAATGGCTTTTACCAGCGGAGGAGGGAATCTCGGGGGACGATCCCTTTATATATACTAAGTCAGGTATATATACACTCCTCCTCCTGTGTCGCCGTCAGTAGTATACCTGGAATATACACAATACATGCCACCAATTATAAGGCTCTACCTGAAGCGTATAATACGTAATTAAGCCGAGGAAATATTTACAGCAAAAGTATGTAGTCAAGGGGTGACTTCCTCATGTGGAATGTAGAGGAATCAACGTATGTAACGTCTTTGTCATTACTGTGGACTTTTGTGGATAATTTTTAATATTAATTGTTTCCGTGCTGATTGGTCCTTTGCGAGACATTTGTTGTGTGTACCTGAAGTAATTAATACCAGGAATTACTTAAGAGAAAACGTGAACAGTCAAGGGGAGACTCGTGAAGAACGTAGATGAGTCAGCGTAGAGGATTCAATGTATAATCTCTTTTTTCATTATTGTGGGGTTTTTGTGCGTGTATAATTATTACTGATATTAGTTTCCGTTCTGATTGGTCCTTTGCGAGGCACTTGCTGTGTGTGTGTGGTGGGGGTTAGTGCCAGGCTGACAAGTGGTCCTCGACGGTGAGGTCTGTTGTCGTTCAAGGGGCAGCAAAACCTCACACATCAGTGGGCCGGGTGAGGCCACACACCCTCATTAATAGTTATTATTATTATTATTATTATTATTATTATTATTATTATTATTTAATAGTTTATCCACTTCGCCACTGATACACTTGGGTGGTCGGTCACATCTCTGTTGTACTGTTGGCAATTTATTCGCTCCAGAATATACCTGCGCGAGTGTTGGTCAAATCTGGTCTTAAATAAGCTCACGTTCTTTGGCAGATTGTTTCAAAAGTTCATTGATCTCATTAAAAAAGAAAATTGTACTGACTATTTTTTAAACCAGTGGCTTCTTCAACCTTAAGATATTATTATTATTATTATTATTATTATTATTATTATTATTATTATTATTATTATTATTATTATTATTATTATTATTATTATTATTATTATTATTATTATTATTTATTATTATTATTATTATTATTATTATTATTATTATTATTATTATTATTATTATTATTATTATTATTATTATTATTATTATTATTATTATTATCATTATCATTATTATTAATATTATTATTGAACTCGTTAAATCTCTCCTCCGATTCAGATGGCTTTGGTTTAATGAATATTTTAACTTTTTAAGATGTCCCTTTGAAATGGTGGGGGAGAGAGTGACACAAGGGAAGTACTGAAGTAAGTTGGGTTATGGATAAATATTGAGGAAAGTTTTCTTGTAAACCGTGTTTGTTTTGACCGTAGCTTGTGAGAGTAGTATACACATTTGAGTCATCAGAGGATCACACTTAGCATTCATTAATCTGTATTAGAACTTTGATTTACTTGTACTCCACTTTATTCTCTTCCCTTTTTGTCGGCACTAGCTGATGAGCCGGTCAGGGCAGCGCAGTACATGTACTGTACTATGTTTTTGTTCTTGTGTACAAAGCTATAGCTACGCGGTTTTAGCTTAGTATCTCTGTTCACATTGCCCGTATACAGTGGAGTGACATCTCCCTACAACTGCCTACAACTGCGTAGCCACAGCCACCAGCTGCTACCGCCTTCCCTAGCAACCAAACGAGCGGCGTCACCAGATGCGCCGCAGTATCTTAGCAACGGAACCAAAGACCGGCGACTTTCTCGGGTTTTCCCAACATGACTCATAGATGACTCACGGCTGCTGGGTATATAAGCTCTGTCTCTCCATTGAGATTCATTCTGGCCTCACTTCTACAACACGCAACACCTCCTCCTCCGCCGCTGCCTGGCGGCCCTCGCCTCTCCTCCGCCTGCCTGGCAGTCCTCGCTCCCGCCAGCGAGCATGGCGACCCACCAGCTGTCCTTCTCTGAGCTTCCTCACCAACCAGCTTTCTCATTCTGGCCATTCTACTTGAACACGCAACACCTCCTCCAGCAAGCTCCACGCTGTCCAGCATTCATTCAACCAGGAGGCCAGCAACAGGCAACATCTTCTCTAACGAAGCTCCTGCACATCTACCTCCTTCAACACGCTACTCACCGAACGTCTCTACTGAGCAGCTCCCCACCACACGGCACCTCCAGCACCAGACTGTCTATCATATAACTTATATTATACAAGAAAACCACCTTAGAGTTTCCATCCATCCTGAGTGCTAGACAACATTATACCACGAATTCCTACAACAGCTACGTTAATTTTACCATTTTATCCTCTTCGCCACTGATCGGCTCGTTAGCCGCTTGGGCGATCGGTCACGTTTGTTACGCATTGTTGGCATGCACCGGCTCCTGAATGTATCTGTACTTGCTCCGGTGTTGGTCAAGTCTTCGTCTTGAAACAGGAGCCGGTGCATGCCCAGTACCTGCCAACAGTGCGTAACAGGGACGTGACCAATCGCCCCGTCTGGTCCCCGAGATATGCTAGGGACTGTCAGTTGGTTGAAAATGTTCAAAGGAGGGCCACCAGACTGGTGCCTGCACTTCGGCACCTCAGCTACCCTGAGAGATTGGAGCGCCTGAACTTGCCTAGCTTATACTACAGACGAGCAGGGGGGGGGGGACCTAATTGAGGTGTATAAACATCTCAAGGGGCACTACTCAGTCGAGTGTCCTTACTTGGAGCTGGCGGACGCTCGCCCCACAAGGGGTCACAGCTCAAGATTGAAGAAGCCGCAAGACCAGAAAACTGTGAGGGCAAACTTTTTCGGAGTGAGAGTTGTGAACTCTTGGAACAATCTACCAGAAAGTGTTGTGACGGCACCGAGTGTGAGCTCTTTCAAGACAAGACTTGACCAACACTGGAGCGGGTTCAGGTACATTCAGGAGCTGGTGTATGCCCAGTACTTGCCAACAGTGCGTAACAGAGACGTGACCGATCGCCCAAGCGGCTAACGAGTCGATCAGTGGTGAAGAGGATAAAAGTTACTGCCTCCAATATCTTCGCAGGCGGTAGTACTCCCTGTTACCACACAAGAATTTACTGTTTTTAGGGTGGATATTTATAATCTATACCCGTAAACCTTCCGATTATTCATTATTTTTTCTAATGTCTTTGCACAATAATGGTCTAAGCCAATTGAAATTCAAAGTAACAGAAGAATTATTTATTGACTAGAAAAAAAAGTCCTGGATGATGTACTATATAAAAGGCGTTGTGTAGTGAGTTTTATTTAGTCCACCCTTAGTTGAAACGAATTACTATTTACAAATATTTATTTAGTTAGAACATCTACTTAAAAATAATATGTAATTGGTTAATTTATATTGTTTTTGGTTCTGCATATCTACCAGTGTTATCTTTATACACACGTTCCTTCCCGCCAAGTTTGCCGCCATTCACAACAACAACTCTTGCAGCTGAAGATTATCTCCTGTTTACTGTACAAATATGTGGAATAATACCGGAAGTATGATATATATTATTCTTGTTTCATAGTCACTGTATACTTTTAAGGTTGTTCTATGCTTTGAGTTGTTGGTGTGTGTGTTATGGTACGATATATACTAATTGGTTGGTTGGAGTGTGCTACCCTATATGTTATGCCACTGATTGTTTGGGATCTTATTTTATTCTGCTAATTGGTTGGTTTGGGTTTTGTTATGCTGCTGATTGGTTGGAGTGTTGTCATGCGAGTGATTGGTTGGTATGCGTTATGTCACACTTTGAGCTTAAGTTTCGTTTAAGGTCGAATATAGAACTATGTATTTCCGTTGATAGTTGTTTTATATCCTAATAAGTATTTCGGCCCAGTGGGAGACTGGATAGGTATGTGGCAGTCGCAGGTTAGGTTACTCCACAGAGATTCATGAGATAAAAACAAAGGTAATTATTTACGACTGCACAGCCGCTGATTTTTCATAGAAAACGAATATGAAAATGGTGTAATTTCACTGTATTTTGAATAAATTTGCACTAACACCTCCCACTCTGTTAGAAAGTCAAAAATATATTTTTCTAGTGTATTTGTGTGTGTTTAGACCGAATATGGCCTTCATTTCCGTCGGAAATTGGCCGTTTTTTTATCGATTTTTTTTCGTGAGACTTTTTCGAAAAAAATTAATGGCTAAGCGAATAAAAAATACACCAAATCACACTAGAAAAACAAAAGCCAAACCTAACCTAACTGACTCTCACCATATGATGGAATCACCTATTTCTTACCTTATTGGCCTGGAGACCAGGTTCTTGTTCGTCGTTGGATTCTGAGATTCTTAAACAACGCCACATATGTTGGTCTTTGCGATATTTACATTGTCGTGCTCTTAGTACACTTTACTGAGGTTGGAAGAACACCATGCAATCGAAAAAATGCTATACAGGGTAGGTTCTTCGTTTTTTAACCCCAAAACTCGCAATCGGCTCCATATAATTTAAGTGACACCCATCACAGACTTCCATGGTCGGAACTGAACTTGAATTTCGAAATATGAGAGAACCAAAATAAAACTCGAATTTGATAGGGCCAAATATACCGCAAATTAAACCCCAAATCATTTTAATTAGTTGCAAAAAAAAAAAAAAGCTTTTGATTGGCCGTGTGACGTGTACGGGAACGCATGTACGTGATGATTTGTGAAGGAGACACGCAGGAGACACACAGTGTGAGAGGTGAGGTAGGCGATAAATGGCGGAAGATTAATGGAAGAAAATCAAGAAAATTTTGGATTTCCTATCTCCGTTATTATACATTTGCGACGGTAATGTAATAGATGAAAATGATCTTATAATTCGACGTCTTATTAGAATATGATAATAGATTAATGGTAGGAATGTGGAATGTTTAAATGCAATAATACCGTATTTTGTACTGGACACGGTCATGGTTATGGCAAATGTGTTAAATTTTTTTATTTAAGCGTTCAAGTTAACCTAACCTTAACCTAACTTTAACCCAACCAAACCTAACCTAACCTAGTCTAACCTTAAACTAAACTAACCTTAGCCTAACCTAACCTAACCTAGCATAACTTAACACCTGCCGTGGGCAAATTTACTGTTACTGAGACGGGGGAAGCAGCGAGTCACGGCTTTGAGGAAGTGGTGAATGATTGTTGACTTTGAAGACAAACCCAGTTCAGTTTCACAGTATTGCTGTGAAAATACTTCCTCAAACATATTCATAAACAGATTATAACACTAAAAAACTGAAGAGACAGATCGTCTTTCCCCCAAAATTCACAAATAATGTCCATATATGAATGGCGACACCCTTCACACGCCAAGGTGGCATTTGAACTGGCTTAGCAAAGCGTGGCTTGCTGGGCATGTGATTGGCTGAGTATTGCCGCATAACTGCCAAGAAAGACAAAATGTAGTGCACGCCAAACAAAGTAGTACACACACCTATTAGTCTAAATATTTGCCAAATGAAGCAGTTTCCATAAAAATTATTATTATATCAACTCACCGATGAAAATATAGTAAGAATATAAACATTAAAACAAATAACTCGTCAGCTGTAAAGTCCTCCATATTAGCCAAACGAAATTTTATTTATATTCGGCTAATATGGAAGACTTCACAGCCGCTTCTCCCCTCTCAGTAACAGTAAGTTTGCCCACGGCAGATGCTAAGTTAGGCTGGGTTTGGTTAGGTTAGGTTAGTATTAAGGTTAGGTTAATGTTTAGGTTTGGTTAGATTAAGTGAGGCTAACTTGAACTTTTAAATAAACACTTTAACACATTTGCCAAACTGCAGCATTATTAAATTCGTTTACTATGAAAAATCAGCAGCTGTGAAGTTGTAACTAATTCCTCATATTTCTATGGTTAATATTAACGAAGGTACCCGCCACTGTGTTAGTTTTTGTTTCTTTTCTTGCTATATTTTCATCAGTAAATAATTAGGCCCCTAGGCTCACATTACCGGCACCACTTTGTCTTGCATGGCGATAAGTCAGTAAGGCACCCCGAGTGACACTCAAATTTGTCTTGTGCTAAGTGTTTGTTAATGAGCTGCTCAGTCCGGGCTGCTTCACCCATGTCCACAAAAAACGTAAAATTACACTATATCATAATATGCTCTTTCTGTCTAATGTGCCAGGAGGGGGTGGCACGACTAAGAAGCTAGGTAAGGTTAGGTTGTTGCGGTCTTCTAACAATGCTTCTGCTGCTTGTTTTTCTTATCAACTAAAGTTAGCTTAGATTTAATTTAAAAATAATCACTTTTTAACACATTTGTCCAAACTATGACAGTGTCCACTAAAAAATACAGTTAAATTGCAGCTTTTTAAAATCATCGTAATTATTGACAAGATACCCGGTGCCAATTTTTCATAGAAAATTATTTTTAAAATGCCACAATTTCACTTGTGTTTTGTAGTGGGCACTGTTTTAGTTTGCCTCTGAGTCATTTCCACTCGTAGCTCCTGTTTACAATTACCATGTATCTTTTTTTGGCAGGTTTCAAATAAGTGATACAATACCACATCTGCTATGGAGGTTAATCTACTGTTTGTGTTCCCAGATTTACAACAAGTAGTCAGTTTAGTTGTTATGAAGTGTAAACGGTACAGTAATTTGTGTCAACTTGGGGAAATGAATCTGCGGTTAATATCGACGAGTTATTTGTTTTACTGTTTATTTTCTTACTTTATTTTCATCAGTGAATTCTGATATGGTAATCATTTCTTGTGAAAATGCTTTTTTTGGGTTGATAATTAGGCGCCTAAGTGCACACTACTGTGTCTTCTCGGTGGTGACGTCTCATCCCAGGATGTAAACAGCCAATCATATTGACGTATTTCAAAACACACTGCTGCCCGGGCTTGATCGACGCCGATGCTCGGTGTCGATCAAGAACCGTATGGTATAGACTGCTGCTCTCATGTTAACAAAAAAACGTAAAATTACACCATATCATAATAAGTTCTTCTCTGTTTAACATACCAGGAGGTTAAGTAAGGTTAGGTAGGATTGTTTGGTTAGGTTGGTGCAGTCATCTAACAACGCTTCTGTTGCTTGTTTTTCATATCAACTAAGGTTAGCTTAAGATTAATTTAGAAATAACCACTTTTTAATACATTTGCACAAACTACAACAGTGCTCACTATAAAACACAGTGACATTGCGGTGTTTTTATGATAGTTTTCTATGAAAAATTGGTTGCGGGTTAGGTATCAATAATTACCGAATCTGCTGTATAATACATATATCGGTTTGTTTTTCAGGTAATTTTGAGGGAGGGTTTGGTGGTGGCAACAACGATGGTGGCTTCCTTAGCTCACAGGACCAGTTTGCATCACCGGCTGGACAGAGTAAGGTAAGACAGAGTGCGAGGTGTGACTAAAATTAGCCATATACAGTACCATGAGTTTGATTCATGTGTTAGTTGTTTATCCCTGTATAGGTTCATATATATATATTTTTTTTTTATTTGTGTCTTATCAGTGAAAAATATACACAGGCTTGGTGTGCCATCTAAAGGAATGGCAATTTCCTGGTTTCATACCACTTCACGTAATACATACGGTATATACTCACTGCATTCCTGCTGAAGGAGGACCCTTCTTTCCCTCCTAGTCTACAGTTGTGAAAATAAATAAGATAACCAATTGTATTTATTTCAGAAGTACAATACTGTATATACATAAATATACTTCCAAAAAAGTATTCACTTAAAAAGTACTGAGTCCATATTGTATCCTAAGTGAAGGAGTGGTTTTGACAGGCACGAAGGGGTGTGACAGTGGTCCCCTTAACCCTGCGAGCAGTAAAGAAACTACCAGAAGACAACCCAGAGATGTTTGGTATACAGGTATGTACAATACAGTACTATACTATATATGTAATATATATATATATATATATATATATATATATATATATATATATATATATATATATATAATTTTATTCAAGACATCTTCAGAGGCAACTGAAGATGTCTTGAATAAAGACGAAAACTAAGGTGCTCCGTTGTTTCCCTTTTCCCGTGTGATTTTATCAAGATTTATCTTATCCACGTTTTCATTGTGGATCTACATGATATATATATATATATATATATTTATATATATATATATATATATATATATATATATATATATATATATATATATATATATATATATATATATATATATATATATATATATATATATATATATATATATATATATATTTCTATCTATTCATTCATTCATTCATCTATTCATTCATCTATTTACTCTATCTATCTATCTATATCTATATACATTGGGGTCTCAACATACGCTGTTACGAACAGAGATAGCCGAGATACCCGTGAATGTTAAAAATCCGTGTACTTTTGCTGCCTCCCCCCCCAAAAAACCCCTGGGCCCCCATGTCCTTATTTACCGTATATACCTGTGTGTAGTTCGAGTTTTTAAGACCAAATTATTTTGCAAAAAATTGGGGGTCGACCTCTAAAAGGGTAATAGTTTCGTTAGGTTGAAAAATATTTACCAGTAACTACCAGTAAACAATGGAAACGACGCACCAACGCACCACCAGCTGTGAGTGTCGGTACAGTCGCCAGGGCAGATCTCTTGTGTCATCATAGCTAGCCAAATCCATGGTATGGTATACACAGGACAATGTAAAACAAAGTATTCATTTGTTAAAGTTTATTTATAGATACTGTACATAAATTTTTGTTCATTACATTTGAAACATCAATCTTTGTTAATTAAATTTGATACAAAAGAAAACTACGATACCGTATTTTCATTAAAATATTACATCACAAGTATATTTTACCTTAACTGTGATTGAATGAATATATTCTCAGAAATAAATATGGAAATGTAATATTTTGGCTGAAATGTCGTACATATTACTGTACAGTGGAAAGTGGGATAAAATTATGAAAACAATGACTTTCGCTTTCTTTCGTTGTTCAAAAGATTTTACCGTAATCGCTTTTCGAATTGTTTTCAGTTAAAAAACTGTTGTACTCGTACTGTATTACAATAATATTCTATCGTATCATTAGCCTTATAATCCCACAACTGAAAACCATTCGAAAAGCGATTGCGGCAACATCTTTTGAACGAAAGAAAGAGAGAGAGTCATTGCTTGCGTCACAATTTTATCCCACTTTCCACTGTAATATGTTCATCATTTCAGCAAAAAATATTACATTTCTATGTTCTCAGAAATAAATGGTAGTTTTGTTGAAACGTAATGTACGGTGTTTAATATTAAAATGCAAAAATAGCTATAAAAACAATTAATACACCCAAAATATACTGGCTGGCATCTCCGCTCGTCCCTGCTCCTGCATCCAAGGTCACCTCACCACTCCTCCCAACTCGCTCCCTCCGCACCGTCACTACTGCCGACAAACAAATGTTTTGTGAATAACTGCACCTCCACTTCCTATGTACAGTACTTGTACTGAACTGTACTGTGCTGTGCATTTTTACAAACAATAAACATGGCAAGAAAAGCTATTAAAAAAAAGAGATAAGAATTTCACTTTACTGTACAGTACCTCTCCTCGGCGACAGGGCTGGGGTCATCGGGCTCATCATCACTCAATTCCATAACGGGTGGTGAAGTGGGGGCGACTGTGGATTCAGCTGCTTCCTCACTGCCGCCAGTGATTGATGGTGTTAAATCTCTCCTTCGGTGATCAAAGAACATGGTGATGGGGAGTTGTCGTCTCTTTCTTTCATTTCTTCCATGATGTTTTTGTATGGAGCGAAAACGTCATCCATCCCTCGCATGAATTTCAGGGCACGCACCATGGAGGGGTCCATACTATAGGCCAGGTTTTTCAGTGCCTCACTATTCCTGGTCATCTCCCCCAACTTCTTCAACTTTATTTCTTGGTGCTCTTCCTCATCCTCTTTCCCTTTCGCTTCCTCTTCCTTGCCCGAGTCTACTAACTCCTGTAGATCCTCCTCGGTCAGCTCAGTGTCGTGCTCTTCAATTAGCTCCCTAATCTCGTCCTCTGCCATGTCCCGGAAGCCTTCAGCAGCCACTTTCCTTGACAGTGCTGGGGTCTTTCTGAATATTTTCATTAAAATCCATCAAAATCATTTTCCTTGTCATTGTCTCAAGCACCAAACACCTCCTCCCAGTCTTCTCCTTGAACAGGGTTAGAGGGTACGTGTTTTTCGAATCGTTTTCAATTAAAAAATGTTACAGCACATGTATATTTTACCTAAACTGTGCCTGAATGAATACATTCTCAGAAATAAATAGTAGTTTTGCTGAAACGTGATGTATTTCAATGTAAAATAGGATAAAATACATGACGAAAACAAAAGATTTTACCTAACCTTCCAATGTTCAAGAGATGTTACTCGTTTTTTTAATAGTTTTCGGTTAAAATACTGTTATATTACAATGATATTATATTCATACTGTGCTTGATATACTACATTCACGGAAATGTAATATTTTTGCTGAAATGACGTAAGTATTACAGTGGAAATAAAATCGTGACGAAAACAATGACTTTCGCTTTCTTTCGTTCAAAAGATGTTACCGTAATCGCTTTTCGAATGGTTTTCAGTTAAAAAACTGTTGCATCACAAGTGAATTAGGATAGAATATTATTGTAATACAACAGTTTTTTAACTGAAAACCATTCGAAAAGCGATTACGGTAACATCTTTTGAACGAAAGAAAGCGAGTCATTGCTTTCGTCACTTTCCACTGTAATACGTACGTCATTTCAGCAAAATATTACATTTCCATATTCTCAGAAATAAATAGTAGTTTTGCTGAAACGTAATGCATTTCAATGTAAATTAGGATAAACTACATGAAAACAAAAGACTTTACCTAGCCTTCCGATGTTCAAGATATGTTACTCGTTTTTTTAGTAGTTTTCGGTTAAAATACTCTTATATTAGTGATATTCTATTCATACTGTGCTTGATATAATACATTCACGGAAATGTAATATTTTTGCAACTACAATGCTGATGTCAACACAAGCGTGGTTACAGCGAGACTGACTGAGTGAGGGAGAGCTATGCGTGTGTGTGTGAGGTTGCGGGAGCGGGCGGTGTCCCGTGTTCGGTGCCGCGCGCGATTTGAATGTACTTCAATTACTTCAATGTACAGAATATTCCTCCGGCGGGGTAATCCGCGTACAGTGAGTTCTGTTATAACGCGTGTTTTGATAACGCGAATTTGCTCTAACGCGATTTATGAATTCGGAACAATATTTGTATAACGCGAACGCTTGTTTGCTATAACGCGATTTTTGCTTACTATTTCTCCAATTTTGTGGTATTAACTGTGAATATGGTAAAGAAGAATATCTCCAAAAAGCGTTCTGATGATAGAATTCCCGGTGATTATCGTAAAAGAAAGGATATAACACTTGAAGAGAAGCTCGATGTTATCAACCTCAAAATCACCCTTCTCCCCCATCAAGTTACATTCATATTTTTTCAAGGTAAAGTGTTAAATTTACTGTATGATTTCATTATTAGATATGAATGTAACATTTATTTAGACTGTGCTATCCTTTGTGTTAGGCTAACTACTAAATTTTTTCGATTTCGAGTAATCTGCACCTAACCCTATTTTCTCCATAAGCCCTGTTATTTCTATAACGCGATTTGCTATAACACGATATTTTACAAGAACACAATTATCGCGTTATAGCAGAACTACCTGTATTTGCAAATCCGTGTATTATAAACCCGCGTATGTTAAGGGTCTCAAAATGATCATTAATTGCCAAGACCGCGAATATCATTTGCTGACCGTGGGGGAGGGGGGTACTTATTTACTTGTGTGCGAAGATATGTATACTGTACATATTCCCTTAATGTGTTTGTCCTTAGGACAATTATTTCTTTACCTGTACTCTGTGTGTGTGTGTTTGTGCTCGCGCATGCGGAGCCCCCCCCCCCCCAAACACACTCACACAAAACACTACAAGTAAATAATAATGGGTAAATCTTCTCACAAATAATCAGAAACAAGACCACAAACTATTAAAATGTAGAAAAAATGCAAGCGTCTACCCTAAAGTCAGCTCCATGCTTTGTTATTAAAGTTGGGTTGGTTGGGTTGCCAGACTGCAATTTTTTCCTCATAAATATTACTGTCTCTAGAACGAATAGCATCTGAGCACCAGCTGGGTTGATATGTAGATCAAACTTAAAAAATTTATTTAATTTAGCCAACCCAACATGGAGGATGTTGGTAATTGTGGTGTAATACAGTACAGTACAGTACTGTACTTTTTTCACAATATGTATGTAGGATGGTGTGTGCATGTAACTGAGCAAAAATAAATGAAGTTACAGTAAAAGTCCAAGAATCCGGATGCCAGAAATTCGGACCACCCGAGAATCCGGACTTTTCGAAAACTCAAACTTTTTAAATTTCGCGGTCTTTTGTGGGTTACGTGAATGAATGGAGTTGCTTTAAAAAATTAATTTACATAATTCTAATAATATAAGTAATTGTAAATTATAGGTAGCTAATTTTGTTAGTTTTGTAATTAGCTTGAACTGAAATGTAAAATTTGAGGCACTATAAATCTTTTGTGTGCATGAGTGAGCGCCACAGCTGCACAGCGACAACAAACGACCACGCGATCGCCACTTTAAAACAAGCAATCAAACTGTGACAACGGTTGTAATTTTGAGTCCTACTCTTTCCATGTACAGAGTACAGACCCATAATAATGGCCCCTAAAGTAGATAAACTTCGTTGTGTGAAGAGAAAGAAGAACACATTGAAATTGAGTGACAAACTTGAAATAATTAAGAAACTAGAATGTGGTGTGAGCAATGCTGTTCTAATGGAAACATACGA